GGTGACCCACCAAGAAGGACAAAATAACCAGTGACAGAGCGACGAGTGATCGGACAACTCGCCCAATCTGAATCAGAATAAGCTGTCAAGGTCAGGTCACTATCACGACGGAGGAGGATACCCTGACCTGGGTGTCCTTTAAGATATCGGAGAACGCGAAGAGCAGCGTTCCAATGATCTAGACGTGGAGCGTGCATAAACTGAGACAAAGCATGAACAGCATAACAGATGTCTGGCCGGGTAATAGTCAAGTACAACAAACAGCCAACAAGACGACGGTACTTTGCGGCATCCCGAAGCTCAGCACTAGTAGAGCGGGCGAGATTGTGGTTGCTGGGCAGTGGGGTGTCGGCAGGCTTGCATCCGGAGAGATTGTGTTCTTGAAGAATATCCAATGTGTATTTGCGCTGATTAAGAACCATACAAGCAGAAGATCGAGCACATTCTATACCCAGAAAATAGGAGACAGGACCAAGGTCTTTGAGCTGAAAACATGCATCCAAGTACTGTTTAAAGGAAGAGCACAAGGAAGGATTATTGCCTGCAACAAGAATATCATCCACATACACAAGAACAACAAGTATATCAGGACCATGACAGAGAACAAAAAGAGTATGATCGGCATGGGCCTGGCGAAAACCATAGTGACGCAGAGTCATACGAAGCTTGGCAAACCAATTACGGGGAGACTGACGTAGCCCGTATAAAGACTTTCGCAAACGGAAAACCTTCCCAGGAAACAAATGAGAATATCCAGGTGGAAGCTGCATATAGATCTCATCCTGAAGATCCCCGTGTAAAAAAGCATTGTTGACATCCAACTGATCAATCTGTCATCCTCGTGCAACTGCGACAGACATCAATACCCGAACTGTAGCCAACTTGGCTACGGGGGAAAAGGTATTAGTGAAGTCGACCCCCACCTCCTGGTGGTTGCCCAAGACAACCAGACGGGCTTTATCCCACTCCTTGGTATCGTCAGACCGATATTTAGTGCGATACACCCATTGACAACCAAGGGCCCGCCGATTAGGAGGAAGAACAATAATTTCCCAGGTATGGTTGCGCTCCAAGGCAGTAAATTCCTGTGCCATAGCTTCCCTCCAAGAAGCATATCTAACAGCTTCCCTATATGATTTGGGGACCGGAGAAGCATCAATAGCACCAAGAAAACCTTTGTACCTGTTATGAAACTTATCATAATGAACATAGTTAGTAATTGGAAACCGTGTGCCAGACGAGACGGAGCCGGATGAAGAGGGAGACGGAGTGACGGTAGACACAGAATTAAGGACATAATCATTGAGGCGGGAGGGGAGGCGACGTGTGCGAGGAGGTAAAGGAGATGGAGACGGGACGGACGAGATGGCCTCGCCCGTCGATTGGACAGTGACGGGAAGAAAGGGTTGTTTGGTTGACTGGACAGAGACGGGGGACGGAGTAGGGGACGGTGGCGGGCTGGGCTCCTCGGAGGTGGTGTCTCCGAGGGTGGCAGTCGGCTGAGAGACGACGGGAAAATCGACGTCGGCGGGGTTTAACACGGGTTGGACGGGACTGGTAGTGTTCGGGATAGAGAACGGGAATTGGGATTCGTCAAACACGACATCCCTAGCGTGAAAAAATTGGTGAGTGTCCAAGTTATACACCCGCCACCCTTTTGTGCCATAGGGATACCCAATAAACATGCATTTCACGCTACGGGGAGAAAATTTGTTTAGGGGTTTAGGTGTTTGACGGACAAAACAGAGACAACCAAAAACCCGGAGATGACTCAAATCTTGTGGTTT